ATCACCTAAAGATCACTTAAGCAAAAAAGGTTACAAGACAACGTTTATTCAACGTCGCAGAAGCTTTTACTTTGTTGTAGTACTAATTCAACGTCGGCACAACGTTACAACAACGTTTACATTTATTTTAATACCCAAGGTACGGAACTAACTATTTTTTGTAACTAATCCAACGTTGTGTTTAGTAAACATGTGGTCGCAAGTCGTGAAAATGCTACTTGGGTAGCCTCCCTCACATATTTAGATACTCTCTTTGTAATTGGGCCCATTGTTCTCTATTGTTGGCTATGCGGGACCTAGTTATCCCTGCTAATTTCCTAATATCATGATCCCATCTGAGGTTTGGTCTTCTTCTAAGTCTCTTAATTCCTCGTGGGTACCATGCTGTAATTTTTGTGGTCCATCTATTGTCCTTCTTCTTGCCAGGTGTCCTGCCTTGATTCTGTTGATGACATCTATCTGCACCTGGGTCTTTTGTCCTATCCACTCTATTCTTTTACGGTCTTTCTTGGTTATTCCCGGCATATTTTGTTCCATTGAGCGTTGTGCCACCTGTAGTTTCCTTATAATGTCCGTTTTAAGTCTCCAGGTTTCGCATGCATAAGTCATGACTGGTAATACACATTGGTCGAATGTTTTCTTTTTAGATAAAGTGATATTCTAGATTTGAATATGGTAGAGTTTCTTTCGTAAGTACTCCATGCTAATTTCATTCTTCTGTTGGTTTTTGGCAGTAGAGATCCCGAGCTGTGTGTTAGTTGTTCCAAATATATACAGGGTGGTCCGACCTGTCTTCCGGAAACTTCGGCAGCATATTCTGCAGATAAAAATAAATAAAAGAGTTCGTAAATTAATGTACGTCCTAAAATGCTTAGTTTCACAGATACAGGGTGTGGAAGTTTCATTTTCATTTTGATTTTTTGTAAATAATTTCTGAAGTGACGTCAATATTTAGATGAAAACTGGTGTCTGGGAGTTTTTTGACATGAGAAATTTGATTTTGATGTCAATATGACTCCTACTAGTCGAGGGCGCCACCACATGTGTTTAACTGTTTTGAAGCGTCATAACTTTTTGTCCGTATCTGTATAAAACTACCGAGCGAAAAAATATACATCTCTGTGACTTTTAATGTAAAAAATATCTCTTTGTAAAAATCGCTACGAGCAACCGTTCTCAAAATATTTAGAGTGGAAATAGCCAATACATACGTCATTATTGACGAAAGATAATAGATATAGGAAAATTAAAATAACTTTCGTTGCACATCATAATACGACCACCAGCAAACTCCATAAGACGACGCATGGTGTCATTGATGACGTGCAACGAAAGTTGTTTCAATTTCCCTATATTTAGTTATTTTACTGAAATAATAAATTTGGGAAATTTTTATTTTTTTAAATTAATCGTAAATTTTTCTGCAAAATATGACGTTAAAACAGTTTCTATTGAACTTTTAGCACAAAAACATTACAAATTTATGATTTCAGCCTAATAACTATTTAGTCAACATGTTTAATGTCAATGATGACGTGTATTGATAATTTCGATTCCAAATATCTCAAAAACCATTACTCGTAGCGATTTTTACCAAGAGACCGTTACGTAGAAAACATCGTAAATGTATATTTTTTACTCAGTAGTTTTATACAGGTACGGACGAAAAGTTATTACTTTCCAAACCAGTTAAAAAATATGTAGGTGGCGCCCTCTACTAGTAGGAATCATATTGACATCAAAATCAAATTTCTCATGTCAAAAAACTCCCAGACAACAATTTTCATCCAAATATTGACGTTACTTCAGAAATTATTTGGAAAAAATCGAAATAAAAATGAAACTTCTACACCCTGTATCTCCGAAACTAAGCATTTTAGGACATACGAACTTTTTTACTTATTTTTATCTGCAGAATATGCTGCCAAAGTTTCCGGAATACAACTTGGACCACCCTGTATATAATGGATATTCTTCTACTATTTCCAGTGTTGTGTTATTGATTAGAAAGTCTTTTCTGTCTACTAGTTCGTTGTACATTGTATTTTTTGCTAAATTCATTTTGAGACCTTCTTTATTGCTGTATTTAGTTCGTTAATTTGTGCTTCTAGTTCTTCTGAATCTTAGATGGTTCAGATATTTTTCATCTAAGTATTTTCAAGGGTATTTTTAATCCTTTGTTGGTCCAGTCCAGTTAACGAAAGATTTTTTAATATTAAGGCTTTAATTATTAGGAGTCTTTAATTAATAGGGTTTTATATTAAAAAAAGCAGAAACTAAAGAAGTTTAAGAAGAAAGAGTTCAACTCTATTTTTCGCAATATCTGTTTTCATCTATTCGGCTCAGTATCTTTTTATAAATGTTCCCACGCTATTCAACGGTGCATCACAAACATTAGATAAACCTGACAATGGTTATTGTGCCAGCAAATATGTAAATTTGCTTTGAGCTTATCACAGTGGAGTTTCGAAATAAAGTAAATTCTTCTAATGTTTTTAATTTCCATCTAATAATTATAAATAAAGATGACCTTTGAGCGTGTTTATACATTTCTAGTATAGACATTGTATGAATGTTTGAATTTTTATAGTAATTATTTAGAATGGTGGACAGTTATAGCAATTTTTTTATCTTAGATGTTATAAACTATGCGGATAAGGAAATTCTCTTCATTTTCGTTGAAAACTAATCAAAGCCATTCGATTATCTGACTGTTTCTGTCAATGACACTGACTGGATGGAACGTTTGTCTTTCTTTTGTGTATACTATACAGGGTGAGTCTTAAATAAGTGCAAATATTTTGAGGGTTGGTAGATCTCGATAAAAGAAATACAGGGTGGCGCACCTCATTCGCCTCGGTTGATTATACGAAAACGGAAAGATGTAGAAACAAAATATTTTATGGGTATATGTGGGGAGGCAATGTGCACAATTTAAAATTATTTTGAAATATACAGGGTGTCTCAGAACTAAGATCCATACCAAAGTTATATTTTTTCTTATGGAACACCCGGTATTTTATTTCATTTTTGGATTCTTGGGTCCAAAAAAAGGCATTTATTATAGGCGTTAAATATGTTTAAATTCTTTGGTTTTTGAGATATTTAAAGATATTTAAATATGCATGCTACAAAAGAATGGATTATTAACACCCTGTATATTACTTTTCAGAATTAATTCTTGTGCTGAGTTTAAAGGTAAAGAAATAAACTCTACTGTAAATATTATTGCTTGCTTAAGTTCGTACAGGAGTACCAAAAATTGGTGATCTATTTTAAGGATATATTTTACATAAAAACTTTGTTATTTCAAATGCAACATCCTGTATTTTTTTAAATAAATCGAAGCAGACTCAAATGCTCTTTCAAACTATATTAGGGTTTCCTATACCTATCTATCTCAGATTTTGAATAAAAAGCGATTTTTAAATAAAATGGCAATCAAGATGGCTGGTATCGCCATGGCAATTTTCTAGTGACAGTTAGTAACTATTTTCAAAATCGACATTAGTTTATAGACTTTATTTAAATCTATACCAGTTTACTTTTATTTATTTGACCTACAATAGTTTAATAAATAATATTTATTAATATGTTATTTATTATTCTATCAAGAAAAACGAACAAGTAGTTCTTTGTTTTATTTTACGATAACTTGTAGATATATGTCTTTTTTACAAAAGAGTCAATTACAGCAAATTCAATTTCTTCACTTTCAACGACAGGTTTCTGCCTAATAGGTTTTTTATAAACTACACTACCATTTCTGCGAAATAGGAAAGAGGACAAGTAATTTTTCAAAGGAAAGCTTATCAGGAAGATTCCTATTTGGAATCGTTCTTGATGCCAAGAAATAATTTTCCTCGCAAAACAAAATCACTAGTAACTAGTAACATATCCATTCGTTCCACCAGCAGATACATATGGCTTTATTTTTCTTCAAAAAATAAAGAGTTACCTACTTACTTATTAAAATATTGTGGGTAAATTGTAGTAAATTGTTTAAATAATAATATCCATACACTAATGTCGATTTTGAAAATAGTTACTAACTCTCACTAGAAACTAGAAAATTGCCATGGCGATACCAGCCAGCTTGATTGCCATTTTATTTAAAAATCGCTTTTTATTTAAAATCCTAGATAGATAGGTATAGGAAACCCTAATATAGTTTGAAAGAGCATTCGAATCTAAATTCAAATTCAAGATAAATTGTAAATTAAAATTTTACTTGAATTTGAATTTTAATGGCAATAATACTAGATACTTAATTTGGATAAAAATTATTGTTATATTAATTATTTGTTATTTTTGTTACTGGCAATTCTTAAGCTTTGATATTAGATATTACCATGGTTACTGCTCTAAAAAGGATGCAAATACAGCAAAAATCCGGTGGCTCTCAAATTTTTTTTAAACTTGAATAACTTAGTTATTTTGGACTTATTTGAAAAACGGTAAAGAGAAAATTTGTTTCTTTTATCGAGATCTATCAGCACTGAAAATATTTGCATTTATTTAAGACTCACCCTGTATACATCTCCCAGGCATTTTATAGAATACCGATTTGATAATCGCCAATGTATGGAATATTATGTATAAAATCTGGACACTATCGGATAAAGTGTGCCGTTTTACACAGGGTTGCTCGCGCACCTTACGCCAAAGCAAAATCGAATTTTTAGAATTGCAAAGAATAACAAAAATAAAAACAAGAAGGATTGAAACTAAAGCAACCAAAACTCATTTGTACCATTAAAATAGCGGCAAAACTTCATGGCGCACGCTGAAAATGAACGGAATAACCCGAAAGCAACAAAACAATTAGTTGGACGAATGAGTTTCGATTGCTTTGGTTTCAACCTATTTTTTTTTTTCACCAGAACAACTAGATTTGGTCCGAACATCCGAGTTGAACAGCAGGCCTTATCCGCTAGTAAATTTGTAAAACATGTCCGCACTTATACAACCAGTAATACACTCTTCCCTCTCCATTGCAGGAGTGCAACAGCAGTACGGCGATGAGCAGCAGCAGGCCGGCGGCGCCCAATACAGTCCCGCCTCGCAGCACGAGGGGGCGGACCTGTCGCCCCACTCGCGATCGACCACGCCCCTCGAATTTACCGGCGCCACTGTCGTCTACCCCGCCGGCGCCGCCACTGAACAACAGGCCCACCAGGATCATCACCAACAGCAGCAGCAGGACAATTACCACACGCTGATACGGGCGGACAACGGAACGTACTTCAGATTGGACGAGGTGAGTCAGGTGAAGAGGGCCTTATGTGTATAATAGCGGGACAGGCACGGCCAGTGGTGTAGGTACGTCATGATGGCGTGCGTGTAGATTTACTGCTACTGGTCGTTGTCGATGCGGTCGGATAGATAGCGGTAGTGTGCTTGGATGCGTTAACGCCCACGAGAACAAACAGTAGCTGGTTGGTTTGTAATCCGATGAAAGATTTTTTTTTATTTACTTTATAAGATTTTTAATTTTCTACACAAAGTGCAAATATTTTGAGGGGGTAAATAATATATTTCGACCCCAGGAACACGGAATGGAGTTTTTTGAAAAAAATTTGAAAATTTCTTTAATTAAAAAACACGATATCTTCACAGCATGGCAACATACATAGGTAGTGGTAGTAGATTGAATTTACAAGAAAGAAAACCCAGAAAAGATGCAATGGTTCTCAAAATTTAAGCGAAAAATCATTTTTTTTTGGAAATTTTCAAAATAACATAAATATCTCGGTTATTTTGGACTTATTTAAAAAACGCTAAAAAGGAAATATATAGTAAACGCCACGAATGTTTGGGAGTGATTCATCGGTCGCTACCATGTGAACTAATCTGTTCAAGGTCACATAAAACTTAATTCCAGTGCCGTGGTGTTTCAAGTCATATAATAATCAATACATAATCTGTTGTAATTTGTTGTTTTAACGGCCAAAGTCTTGTCAAAACATATATTTGGTTATAAATATAAAATGGAATGCCCCCTTGGTCGCACTACAAGCACACTAACGGACTGACGCACAAGAACGAATCAATCAAAGAAACGCGATATAGTATCGTCTTTGTCAATCACGCTAACATTTTAGAATAAGTAGGAGGAGCGCAGGCAGATGATTAGACCGGGCCTTTAAAAACCTACGTCTGCGGTAAAAATTTACGTTTTTAATGTAAAAATAATAGCGCGCGTGTCGATTCTAACTTCATCAAGCGATGAATCACTCCCAAGCATTCGTGGCGGTTATTATACCTAAATATCTGTTTTATCGATATCTACCAGCCCTGAAAATATTTGCACTTATTTAAGACTCGCCCTGTATATTCAATGACTAAAGAATACAAGAACCAATAACACACGACATCAAATTGTTGTCGTACCTCCAAACAGTGCCGTGCAACATATTTTTCTTAACCTGAAGAGATATTTATATTTTTGATAAATGTTTTGACTACGCCTATGGTGTATGCTGCTTATTTAGGTGCACACTTTCTGAAGCAAATTATCTATTGACTATTCTCTCATATCTCCCTAAGTGTACATCCAACCCTCAACTGTAACCTAAGTGTCTTGTTTATTTTAATATAGTGTTAAGTTATAACATCCTGATACTACAGGGTGAGTCTTAAATAAGTGCAAATATTTTCAAGGCTAGTAGACCTCGATAAAAGAAACATATTTTTTCTTTACCGTTTTTCAAAAAAAGGCGAAAATTAAAAAAAAAATTGCCTAAATTTTGAGAACCACTGGGTCTTTTCTGTTTTTTAGCCGACCATACCAACAGGTATGGTAGGCTATTAAGATCGGCAAAAAAAAGTTTTTTTAATTTCACTCAAAATGAGTTATATAAAATATTTTCATGGTGTCTGTCTCTCTGTCTATCTGTCTGATTATAACCGCCTATAACTGTCTATCTGTCTGACTAAACCGCTAAACCGATTTTAACCAAATATGGCACAAAAATACTGTGGCACCCGAGAATCTGGCCATTAGTTTTTGGTGGGGGTGGGGGGTTGGTAAGGGGGTATGGGAGGGGGTTAAACATTTCAAAAAAAATCGTAACTCCAAAATTACAGTAGCTAGCGAAACGCGGTTTTCAATTTAAGATTAGGAATAATATTTGCAACAAAATTTGTAATAACATCAAAATCAGTCATAGTGGCAGTTTTTGAGATAGGTAATTAAAACTAAAAGAACTGCCTACGAACTTTTTATTAACATATTTTAGTATGGGCGGCTATACGTGCCTCCCGGCGCCAATTTTTTTCTTGTAAATTTAATTTACTATCTATGTTGCAATATTATGAAGATGTTATGTTTTTAACTAAAAATTAAAGAAAATCCAAATTTTTTTTCCAAAAATTCCTAATTTAAAAAAAAAATTGCGAAAAAAACTCACAAGCGTGTTTCTGGGGTCGAAATATACTACCCCTAAAAATATTTGCACTTATTTAAAACTCACCCTGTATAAACAACATTTGACTTCATCAGAATCATCATTGTGTTTCTGACCAACAGACTAAGGATTACTTCTCACAAGTATTTCTATTTCAGACACATTTTTTTTTGTTGTGAGATCTTGATTTAGTTTTACTATTTAAAGCAATGCGCCAAAGCCTTTAATTACGATAAAATAGTATATTTTTATACTTTGATGTTTCATTTCTTTTTTAGGTCCCTATAGACGCCACTGGTGCCTTCCTCCACCTGAGCCAAGCCACGCCGAACTCCAATGGAAACTCACCCTACAACAGCGAATCTCCAAGTCCAACATCTCCCAATCGGACAACTGGATATACGAATTTGGGAATAGCTGTGGCGCCCTCCAGTGATGACCAGCAACAACACACGATAATAGAAGCAAGCACGGCACAGTTAACTCAGCTAACTAGCCATATTAGCTATACGGGTGAACTGGATTCGTCGGGAGTACCCAACACGATAAGCAGGTATGTGAGGTTTATTTTAAACAAGTGTTGTTGTTTACCTTAGTTGTGTTTATGCTCAAAGACATTATTTTTGCTTCTTTGGGGTCTATCTCGATTATCTATATTATTCCTATAGTTATAGTTGTTAACTTTCGACTTTTAACAATTGAGGTAACTTCTGTGTGACTCTGTACAACTTTTTTAAGAGACTCCTACAGGGTCCGGCAATAGTGCGACGGACATCTGTAGCTCCCAGAATAAAAAGCTTGGGAATTTTTTTTAAGTGCAAACTTAAAGTATATTTCATATCAATTAAACTTTTAGTTACGTAATCGAGGGCGCGATTTTTAAATTCATTCTTACCAACCACGGACATATTCGGCGCCGTATTGACTAACTGGAATTTAAATTTCCCGCTGGAGATTCAGGTGGTAGGGTAGCTCCGCTGTAAAACTGGCAAGTTGGTACATTATTTCCTGACATTAAAATTCATAGTCAGATTTGGCGTGTGGGCGATAATTCCTGGACAAGGATAGATAGAGTAGTAGTACCGGGCATGCAATAAAGAAATAATATAATAGCTTTTGGTTTGGATCGAAAAAAAAAACGGCATCAGCGATGGCTATGAAATGAAGATTCCTGTCATTTTGTATGTAAAATCATATGGGAAATGTCATCTATCGTCATTTCCAAGCCTACTGGGCGTAGTTTTTTTCAATCATACGTTACAAAACACAAGAGATAAGAATCTTGGGGGTCGCAAATCGGTTCGCCGTGCGCATGACGTCACCTTGCTAGTAATGTTTGAATTAGCGGCTGTGGCGAACGATGAACGATGTCTCTTGCTCTTTTGTCAATTTCGGCCTCCTTGATGAGATTTATGATTTATTTATTATCATGCAATTTTATTAATTAGAATTAATAAAGTTTAAAAAAATATAATTAATAAATTATTTTTTTTAAATCTATGTATTTGTGTATTAACACTGATGTTCGGTGCTACTTACAGTTTATTCAGAAAAAATAATGGTTTTTAAGATAATTACAAAAGACTTATTTTTTAAAAGTTGCACTGCATGGCGCGGATTGGCGCAGCCGTTATGTACGGAAGAACCAGCGCGCGCGAAGGAACGTTTGTCGGTGCAGGTTTGCGCGCGCTAAAAAAATACACTTCAAAAGTACATGTAAAAAAATTTTTGGCGGCGCGCAGAGCGGCGCAGGCGATGAGAACGCACCTTTAGAATATTTTGAACGGGAAAGCGGTAGTAATGGCCCTTTATGCCCCTTAAGTGCTGTTAAGAAGGTGAGTTTTTTGATGTAAATAATAACTGTTTATATATATTTATAATTAATTTATTTTTGTTTCTTAAAATATTTTGATTAAAAGAAAATATATAAATGTGCATGGTCAACGCAGTACCGGTCAAGCTTAATCACGTGACTAAAAGTTTATTTAGTGTGTACGAGGATGAATTTCAGGAAAATATTTTAACTGCTACAGGTTGGCTCAAAAAAGTGTGGGTGGATCGGGATCGTTTATTTTAAATGGAATACCCATATACATATAGGTACATATTATGTATATTATTGCATTTTCGGCTTCCTTTTAAAAACTTCACAAAGGCGACAAAACAGAACGCTTCTTCTATTAAAACCCAAAACCCAACAACGTATTCGTCGATTTTAAAAAGGTGCAAACTGCGCGATATCAGTAAAGTTCAAAGCATAACGAGAACATTACCCCATTGCGCTGATAAGGCAGCCGCTTACCCGCATGTAAATATTTTTTCGTTTTTTAAAATGCAGGCGGAAAAGCTCATGAGACACGCCAGCTAAGTGCCGTGGTTTTACTGTGTGCACTAGACCATAATAAAAAGTGGTCACCATCTTTACGTTCACGAGCCATCGTGAATTGTAAAATGATGTTTAAACTTTAAATCATATACAGGGTGTTCCACTTGAACTATATTCGATACCAATTAAACTTGTAGTTACGTAATCGAGATTTTTAAATTCATTGTTGCCAGCCTTGGACATATTCGGCTCCGGGCCGGGCTGATTAACTGGAATTTAAATTTCCCGCTGGGGAATTTCAAGTGGTAGTAGCTCTGCTCTAAAAAATGCCAAGTTGCCACATTTATTTATTTCCTGACATTGTTATTCGTTTTGACATTTTAGTTTTGCATTAGGAGTTTTCGGTTTGAATGAATTGTGTTGGGATACTAAGCTTAAAAATTTTTACTAGCAGACATTGCAGTCGAACATTGTTCTTTTTAGAACCACTTTTATTGCGAAGTGCTCGGCGAAGTGTACAACATAGCTTAATAGCCGTTGCATAAAACTCATCGCAACCTTATTAGAATATTTTGAACGGATAAGCGGCAGTAATGGCCCTTTATGTCCCTTAAGTGCTGTTAAAACGGTAAGGAGTTTTGTTGATGTAAATAATAACTATTATATATTTTATATATATTTATAATTAATTTATTTTTGGTTCCTAAAATATTTCGATTAAAAGAAAATATGTAAAAGTGGTCATCGCTGTGCCGGTCAAGCTTAACACAACAACTAACTAACTCAACAAATCGAAATAATATAGAAAAAATTAAGAAACTATAAAACAATTTGAAAAATTTACCACAAAATCTAATTACATTGATAAATTCTTTGAAATTTAATTTGTATTTTTATTGCTCTACTTTTTAAAGCTATTGCTCGAAAATCGAATGGATAAACGTATTGCTGTAATTACGGTCGAATTATATTTATTTGACACACGTAATGAATAATTCACCACTATGTACGACTGTAATTATTTTAAACAACCTTTTACAGCCAGGAAAATACAATAGCGATAAGAATAACTTCCCGTTATTTTTTTATACTGCTCTATTAGCATTGACTGACTGCTATAGTATGTTTTTAACATTTCGAGGAAAAATTATCTTTTATACAGAGTGCTTCTCGGGGAACTACCTACCTTCTATTGATGTACCAAAAAGTACGTCCTGAACATTTAAAACAGTAGGTACCTACCTATCTATTAATTTCACTATTAGAGCAATCGCCTCAGATATTTTTGTAATAAAAAGAATTATTATAGGGACTAGTATATATTATTAAGACCCTAAAATCTACATAAATATAGTCTCAAACTACAGCAAAAGTAAATTTCCTATATAAAATTCATTACAAATTGCGTTACTGCAAAATCCGTCTTAGCCACTTATATTTGCTTTTTATTGTAATTATTCTTGCAAATCCCGCATTTTTTCATAGGATTATTACAGAAGTAATATTACTACTGACGTCTTATCCATTTAATATTGTAACGTTTTTAGTTCGTTACATGTATTTTTTATATATGATTTATATGATGTCTGGCGTATCGTCATCGGATTCCGTATCGTTCAGGCCTGACAATTTATTTGGCACGCTTGGCGTAATTTTTACGTTCCCTAGTCGCCAACCCTGTTATCGTTTGACACAACCCTGTTATCGCTCTGTGGAGGCGCTGTCAACATCACTTCTGTCAACTCTCTGTGCTGTGGACTCACTTTTGCTTTTAGCGCTCTGTAGCCTAACCTAACCATCCCGGCTTTTAGAAATGGTGATTATTTAAATCTTGCTGTATAATTTGAATCAGCTGCTATTTCAAACCAACAGGTAAAAATGAGATATTATCTTTTTTGATTCGTTATTATTACTGCGTATTTTTAGGGTAGAGTTTTGGATGTCCCAACCTAACTTGTATTTGTATTTTGCTGGCACGTTGGCGTCCCTTTTCTTTTGTTCTCCAGAATGTCACATGGAAGAAAGGACATGTTCTTTATTATTTAGTGAGCCCTCGGAAGTAATTCGAGGGTCCAAGGTACGGACTATTTACAAGGTACGGGCATTATCCAAGGTCCTAGTAGTATCCAAGGTACGGGTAGTGTTCCCCTGTACCGTTGTCTTATGGACGGACTATTTACAAGGTACGGGCATTATCCAAGGTCCTAGTAGTGTTCCAAGGTACGGGTAGTGTCCCCATATTGCCACAGTATGGATAGAGCGTAAGCCCCATGCTGCTTCGCTCCCATTTCTAAGCCTAGTCAGTAGCTACGGCTATATTGATTCATGGTGTCCTCATCCTGGCCTCTTTTGTTGTATTGGCCAACAGGATAGCCGAGAAACAGTACAGAGATATGAGCCCACCTCACGCTGCTACTCTTCGAAACAGGATTGCCTTAAGAACAGCTAAGTGAAGATTTAGGTTCTGGTTTTCAGTCGATTTTCAGTCTTAACTTAACGTACATTTGGTTAGGTTAGTAAGACATTTATGTCGATTTAGTAGTTACAATATGATTTAGATTTTAGGTTTCATTACATTACGCCTTGTAATAGTATTACTTGTTTATAGATATTATTATTGCACTAACATCATATAAAATATATCAAATTAATTAAAGTAATACTACATTTCATATATTCTCTTAAACGTTACATGTCTTGTATTTTATCATAGTTGTTTTCATAGATATTTAGTACAATTCTTAACACCACTTTCGTTGACATATAACCACTGTAATAATTATTAAAATTGTACAATGCTATTTACCATCACAATCCATCATGAATAAATATAGTCATTAGTTAATTTATTTTTAAGTAATATACAACTGTGTTTTCTTTCTCTGTACATGCCTGGCGCCCAATATCTGTAATTTTTTGTTTATTGTTATTAATTAGTTCTTTCCAGTGAAATACCTTATCCACGACTGCTCTCCGATGAAAAGCTGCCGTTCGCAGTGGTAATGTTTATAAAAAAACGCTACAATATCCTTACCAAATTTTATTTACAATGCAAATATCTTGCTGTAGCAAAACCCGCAAAACAAAAGGCATACAAAAAACGTGTCCATTAAGTGGAATCATTGTTTTGTATCTGTTTTTTTAAAGAGAAAAAACACAAAAATAATACGTATTAGGCAGGTTTTGTTGCAGTATATGCATCATACTGCAACAAAATCCGCTTTATC